TTTAGGGTATAGGGGTTTAGGGTTAGGGACTAGGGTTTAGTGTTTAAGGTTTAGGGGTTTAGGGTTTGGGGTTTAGGATTTAGGGTTTAGGGTTTTCAGTTTAGGGTTTAGGGTTTAGGGTTAAAAATGCGGTTATATGTAGGGCAACTATACTTATAACCCATAGTAGGGGACTTATAACCATACTTATAACCACCCATGAACCTGCAAGTGGGTGTTGTGGGTAGGGTTTGGAAATAGAAGGTTAAACTTTCAGAGTACTATTTGGCCAAAAGAACCCAGAAAGTTTAAAGGTTGGGTATTGGGGAACTAAGAAAAAGGGCCTTTGGGGACAGGCGGGAATTTCAACGAACACGTTGATTGGCTTTCTCCAGCTGCACACGGTGTTGCAGAGTATCTGCGGGATACAGTAATGATGTTATAAGAAACAGGACCATGCTGATGCTGGGGGCTGCAAAGCCACAATGTTCTCACGCAGAAGAGACACTACAATTGCACATGCCATCCGAGTGTGACAGAACCTACCAGTTTTGGTAGCGTTAGCAGTTCGTAGTTGCCGAAGGAAGCAGAGGGAATGACTGGCAAGAACATACCTTCGATTCGCACTGTAGTGAGCACTACTACAAAGAAACTCCCCCTCTGATCCACGGATCCATCCCAATATCCCGGCCTGTACACGGAGCGAAACAACGAGGTCGCTTGACGCATCTCTCGTAGGTTGTCTGGGGTGGGGATCGTCAAACGGTTGTGGTCCTCACCGACACCGAGTTAGAGTTTCGGGCTTTAGGATGCTGCTTCGCATGTGATATGCTACGGGCTGGGCGTGGTGTCTAGGGTTGGTGTTTCCAGAGGGCTTGGGTTGCCAAAGCCATTCAACATAAAGATATGGCTTACGGGTATGTCGGCTTTGGATTTGGGCAAAGATGTAGTACAAGGCCCCCGGGTCAGAGCCCAGCAACCCAAAGTACAGGAGCCTCGTTGACATCACAATCGGGTTTCACATTCAGTTTTGGTAGTAGGTCTTCGCAGGTGTACAAACACATACACGCATGCATGCCTATATATATATATATATGCTTGATTGTAAGGCAATGTAATGTAATGCAATGCAATGCAATGTAATGTAATGTAATGTAATGTAATGTAATGTAATGTAATGTAATGTAATGTAATGCAATGTAATGTAGTGTAGTGTACTGTAATGCATTGTAGTGTGTAATGCAATGTAATGTGATGTAATGTAATGTCATGTAATGTATGTATGCATGTATGTATGTATGTATGTATGTATGTATGTATGTATGTGTGTATGTACAAAGAAAACGTATGCTATAATATCGTATATTATATTGTACTTTACTGCATTATATTAAATTATTATACATCTTATACATGATTACCCAGGCCTCCTACTCGGCGACAAGAGAACGACAAGCTGAACTGCGGGCGTGTCCAACGTAGGAGTTTTAAGGTTTAGGGTGTGCCTGTGGCTCAAAATATCTACTGTTTGGCTACAGGTCCCTCAACCTAAACCCTAAACCCTAAACCATAAGCCCTAAACCCCAAATCGGGTTTAGGGTGCCGATGCCAAACCCTACCGTAAACCCGACTGTACAGCCCTACAGGGCTTCAGACGGTAACAACATGAAAATCCGGCACCGAACAGGTTTAGGGTGTTGGGTTTAGGGCTTAGGGTTATAAGCAGCATTATAGCCGTCGTTTAAACTTAGGCTCTAGAGTTTAGGTTTTGAGGTTAAGGGGCCCTTTTCTTAGCAGGTCGCGATATTATCGGAGCAGACAACTCTAGAAGGGCCTGCCTCCAACCCTGCTTGCCACATTAAGACAGTTTGCAGCCTGAGCTGTATCAATGAGTCTTACCTGTAGGGTCATACCCTAGCCCTTTGTTAGGGTACCTGCCTTTCTATATAGCAGATCCTAAACATAAAACTAGGTACCTTAAACAAGGGGTAGGGTATCAATGCGTCTAAAACCAATCAACATCAACCTCGGCTGCCTGATATTGGAGTCAAAACGATC